AGTGACTATAAAGAATAAATATCTCATTCCCCGAATAGAAGACCTATTTGATCAACTTCAAGGTACTTAGGTATACTCAAAGATTAATTTGAGATCCAATTATCATCAATTAAAGATAAGAGAAGGAGATATATAGAAAATTGATTTCAGAACACGATATGGTCATTACAAATTCTTAGTAATGCCTTTCGGACTTGCAAATGCATCGGCTATCGTCATGGATCTCATGAATAGGGTGTTTTACACTTATCTTGATAAATTTGTAATTGTGTTCATTAATGACATCTTGATCTATTCCAAAAGTAGGACGGAACATGAACACCATCTCAAGATAGTTTTGGAAGTTCTAAAACAAGAAAAACTTTATGTAAAATTGAGGAAGTGCAATTTTTGGCTCAATGAAGTTATGTTTCTTGGTTATGTAATTTTAGGTGCTAGTATATCTGTTGGCCCCCAAAAGATTGAAGCTATGATAAATTGGAAGTAACTTTCTAATGTTTTAGAGATTAGAAGCTTCTTGGGTTTAGTTGGATATTATAGAAGATTCGTAGAAGGTTTTTCAAAAATAACAACACCCTTAACTAGGTTGATGCAGAAGAATATAAAGTTCGTGTGGGATGATAAATTTTAACGAAGTTTTCAAGAATTGAAGGAAGAATTAACCAGTGCTCCTATCTTAGTGATTCCTTCAGGAGGGGAAGGTTTTGTAGTGTATAGTGATGGATCACTTCGGGTTGTGTTCTAATGCAAATGAGAGGGTAGTTGCTTATGCATCTAGACAATTAAAGTCTTATGAGAAGAACTATCCTGCTCATGACTTAGAGCTAGTAGTTATTATTTTTGCACTGAAAATTTGGAGATATTATCTCTATGGACAAACTTTTAGAATCTTTGCAGATCATAAGAGTCTCAATTATATCTTCACACAGAAGGATTTAAATATAAGACAAAGAAGATGGTTGAACTTTTTAAAAGATTATGATTTTAATATCAACTACCATCATGCGAGGTTAATGTAGTCGCTAATACCTTAAGCAGAAATACTTCAAGCCTTATAGCTTATATGAATATTCAATGGAATTTTATGATGGTAGAGTTGGTACATTTGAAACTAAAACTTTTATTTGAGACAAATAAATATTTTCTAGCATGCTTGATGGCACAATTATATTTGGTGGAAAGGATTAAAGAAGGTTAGAAGGAAGATGCATATCTTCAGATGATAGCTAAGGAGATAGCTCAGGGATCTAAACCTGAGTTCCTCGAAGCCGAAGATGGTTTATTACATTCTACAATCGATTTTGTGTTCCCGAAAGTTATTTAGTAAAGATACAATTTTTGAAGGAGGCCTACAGATTAAAATTTAATATCCATCCCAAGACTACCAAGATGTATTGGGATTTATGCCAAAACTACCAGTGGCATGATATGAAAAGAGATATAGCAGCATTTGTCTCTAAATAAATGTCTAATATACTAGCACCTGAAGGCAGAACATCAAGTATCACAGGAAAATTATAAAAGCCTTGAATTCCTAAATGAAAGTGGGAGTAGGTCACTATGGATTTTGTGACAGGACTAACCAAAACTACGAAAGGACATAATGTAATTTGGGTAGTAGTGGACATATTTATTAAATCTGCTCACTTTCTCCCTGTTAACAAGAAGTATTCATTCGATAAACTAGCAAGCCTATTTATTAAAAAGATTATTTGATATCATGGGGTGTTAGTTAGCATTATCTCGGATAGAGATCCAAGGTTTATTTCTAGGTTTTGGGGAAATCTATAAAAATCTTTAGGCACACAATTAAAATTTAATATAGCTTTTCATCTGCTAACTGATGGCCAATCTGAGAGAACAAAACAAACTCTTGAAAATCTCTTAAGAGCTTATGTCTTGGACTTTGGTGGAAGTTGGGATATGTACTTGAACCTAATTAAGTTTGCTTACAATAATAGTTATCACTCTAGTATACAGATGGCCCCATTTGAAGCTCTTTATAGAGAAAGTGCAGATCACCTGTGTATTGGGATGAGGTGGGGGAACGGAAGCTTTTGGGACCTCAATTAATTTAAAGAGATGCTGATGATATTCGAATCATATGTTAGAGATTATTAGTAGCTCAAAGTCGCCAGAAAAGTTATGCGAAGAGATTTGGAGTTTAAAATTAGTGATCACGTCTTCTTGAAGGTGTCACCAACCATGGGATTCATGAAGTTTGGTTAAAGGGGCAAGTTAGCCCATAGATTTATTGGCTCATTTGAGATCTCACAAAAGGTTGGGCTTGTAGCATGCATATTGGTGCTCCTAGTGTTGGCTATCATCCATGATGTATTCCACATCTCTATACTCGGAGATATATCAGGGATCCATCCCATGTCATATCTTATCAATCTCTACAACTAAGAAATAATGTCACATTTACAGAACAACTAACCCAGATCTTAGAAAGGAAAGAACATGTTTTAAGGAATAAAGTTTTACCTTTGATAAAGATCCGTTGACAGCACCATTCAGACAATAAGGCAACTTGGGAAAGAGTAGAAGATGTGCGAGAGTAGTAACCTTACCTTTTTTTTAAGGTAAATTAAATTTGGGGACCAAATTCCATTTAGGAGGGGAGAAATGTAATTAAATCTTCGATTTAAGAATTTGTTTTTATTTCCTTGCTTGCCATTGTGATTTAGGAAATATTAATTTTTATTTCTTTGATTACCATTATAAATTAGGAAACAATTATTAAGCATTTCAAATAGAGAGATGTCATATTTGTTAGTATATTAAATGAAAATTTATATTAAATAAATATAAAAATTAAAAAAAAATTTCTTAATTGGAGGGCTCACATCCTCCTATTTAAGAAGAGGGATTTCTCTCCTTCGTTCCTCGTCAAGCCAAACCCAATAGTGGGAGGAATGAGGAGTTGATATCCTGCTGAGGAGAGGTAGGTTTCCTTGCCTTTCATGAAAAAAATAAAAGCTTTTATTTTGATTCCCCTAATGTTGAAATTTTATTTGTAGTTCGAAAGTATTTATCAATCCTTTAAATATTAAAATTTTTATTGTTAGATTAAAATATATTATCTAAAGTTTTTAAGATATTCTTTAAAACCTTTTAAGGTTCATAATTTTATTATTTGATTATATTACGTTGAAATTATTTATGTCGTATGTATTGAATGTATGATATCTGATTTTTATTTGAATTAAAAATGTTATTTTTTTGTATTGAAGTATATCTTTTAATCTTATCTTTTAATCTGTTGTTCTGTTAATTGTATTATTATTAATGGATATATATTGTCATAATTTAAAATTGATGAAATTAGATAGGATTTGGGTTGAAATAGCCCATAGGCTAGGCTTAATCAATAGGCCAGGTTCAATCAGCAGGCCAGGCCCAACCTACGGGTCTATTGACTAGGCCCAGTCAATAGACCAATTCCAGTTAGCAGGCCAAGCTCAACCTGGAAGTTAGGCCTTAACTCGTAGGCTACCTTAGCCTAGCCTAACATGGGCGGTCACGTGCGATGCACATACCAGTCCATGGGCCAAGGGCTACCTTAGCCTGGTGTGGTGCATGCACAGTTATGTACAGTGCACATGACTAGTATATAGGCTAGCCCAACCTAGCCCAGTATTATGCAGTTGTTGGATTTGAGCCCAAACTTTAATTGAACCAAATCAGATTTGATCAGTTAGATCGATTCAGGGTGATTCTGAATTGGTTTTACTTATTCAAATATGTTTAACTTAAATTTAACCTAATCTAATCCAAATTATATTAGTCTAGGTTGGTTTCAGACTAGTTATATAAGGATTGGAGATCGGTTCAATTGGGTTTTAGTTAAATCGAGTTCAATTAGACCGATTGAACTAGGGTTCAAGTCAATTGAGGGCTAATTGATATTATTTGACATTGATGATGTTTAAAAGAAATGTTTTAGATGTGTTATTTCACCCCGATATAGATATGACCAGTATGACATGTTGTTATTTTCCTGCCGAGGGCAGTAGGGCGATTTACTTCAGGGATTAGCGGGATATCAGATATGACGGTTGGACGGTTCCTCCATCTGCTATTGGGAGGAACGTATTCCCACTTTGGCGGGTGAGGGATACCACTCCATCTGTTGTTGGAAGTGCGATATGAGTTTGCTTCCATCCGTTATTGGGAGAATACAAACTCATCTCATAGGATAAAGCCTTTCCATCTGCTGTTGGGAGAGTGCTCCTTTGGGTATTTGATATACACTAACGGGATGATTGAATTTTGATCATATATTCATTTTCAGTTGATTTATAGGGTTTCTACTCAGTGTTGCTGAAATTTTTTTATTTTTTATTTTCAGAGTAGCCTCCTACCAGCACTAAATCAGATTCTAGCGAAGAGCAAACTTTCTTCTATCGCTAGGTAGTGCCATTTGGATGTTTCTTCGAGTTAACATAACTATGTTTTTTAATAAATACTTTTGACTTATTCTTTGACGAATAAATAAATCGTAATAAATGTTTATAAGTTATGAATAAAGTGATATTTATTTATTTGGCTCTGAATGTACTTGTAGAAAGATGTGATCTTGTAAAAAAAAAAAAATTCAGGATGTGACATACTTGCTTTTAGAAACTTGTAAACTATCCCTTTCCCTTGCCTCCAGTGTTGAACCCACTGATTTGTTTTTTTTTTCTTGTCGTTTTCATCCATCAGAACTCTTTTGTTGTATAAAACCTTCCAGGTGCTTCTATGTTGCATAATTGCATTCTTTGTTAGCCACCAGCTTCTTTGAAGATAGTCTGATGCTTATTTAACCTTTTCAAAGGGTTATTTTAAGTAAGTATCTCAGTTGGGTTGTTCATTGTTTTTGGTTGTTTACATTTTCCTTTTTTATCTGCTCTGTTTATCATATGAATGATCCTTTTTAGAATTTGTTCAACTAAATCTCCTGGTCTTAGATGTTACTGACCCCCCACTTGTCTATGTTCTCCTTGCTTTAACAGAAAAATGAGTGTGGAGAAGCAGAAGAAGTTCCTCACAGTTGCACCTTTCAAGTGTGTCTGGCGTGAGGAGCTGAGGTTTAAAGAGGCTGGGCGTGGTTGTGTTGCCTTTGAAGCTTTTGCTCAAAATGATGTGACTTTGGTGTTCAGGGAGCAAGTGGGGAGCCAACACTATCATTACAAAATGGATAACAATCCCAACTATACCATCATTTTCGGTAGTCATAGAAATCGAAGGCTAAAGATCGAAGCAAGTGGGAAGACTGTTGTAGACGTTGCTGGAGTGGGGTTATGTTCATCAGCATTTCAGAGCTATTGGATTAGCATATATGATGGGTTGATTAGCATTGGCAAAGGGAAGTATCCTTTTCAGAACCTTGTCTTTGAATGGCATGATTCAGAGCCTAATTTTAATGTGCAGTATATTGGTCTAAGCAGCTGGGATAAGCATGTTGGATACAGAAATATCAGTATCTTGCACATGCCATCACATCACAATGCCCTTTGGAGCCACATAGACTATAAAGATTATGAAGGAGAGGATGATGACGATGATGGGCTGGAGAATGTGAATGACAATTTAGGAAAGTGGGGGCTTCTTAATTTTTTGGAGAACTGGGATCTAGCTGATGTCTTATTTGAAGTTGGTACAGAAAGAAAGGTTATTCCTGCACACAAGGTGATTTTGAGTTCTACTGGTGATTTCTCCTTGGGATCAACTGATGAAAATGTTATAGAACTACCTTCAACATCATATCCTGTTCTCCATGCCTTTTTGGAATTCATATATATTGGCCGGACTCAAGTATGTTATACAGCATTTAACGATATCTATATGTTTTCTCTCTTTGAGCAACATCCTTGCTGATTTTTCTTTTGTTGGTTTTTATAATTTGGCCTAGATTGTAGAATGGCAACTTGGGCCACTACAGGAGTTGAGCTTACAATTTAAAGTTATAGCATTGGTTAAGCAGTGCGAAGAAATTATGGATTGTTTTAGGAAGAACAAAAAATTGTTTGATTCTGGTAAGAAAGTCGAAATTATCAATCTGAGCTCCCAAGTTCGGCAATTTGGTATCTTTCCTTGCGAAGTACGTCTTGACGTGGGAAAGCTGAAGCATTTTCTTGCTACTGGTGAGCATAGTGATATAAAGATACATATTGAAGATCATGGCCTTGTCGTGCAGTCGCACAAGCTCATTCTTAGTCTATGGAGTGCACCATTTGCAAAGGTGTGTGTATTCTTCTTGTCATACTGTACTGTACAATAAAGATACTTGAGCACATTTAGGTTCCTTGAAATGGTTTTGGCCCTATTCTCTTTTTCAATGGTTGAGCATCTGTCTCTTAGTTACATGCATATGTTGTGCTTGACAACCATTGATTTTCTTTTCTGTAATCTTAACCGATCACATTCCAGATGTTCACGAATGGGATGGTTGAAAGCAGTTCTTCAGACATATATTTAAAGGATGTTCCTGCAGAAGCATTTTGGGTTATGATACAGTTTATGTACAGCGGAGTACTTGAAATGGACATCACAGAAATGGGTCCTATACTAATTCCACTTCTTCTACTTGCTGACCAATTTGGCGTTTTTTATCTTCAGCGAGAATGCTGCAAACGAGTTATGGAATGTCTTTCGGAGGTATTCAGTCACTTGAATTTTCTCGTATAGTTGAGCATTTCTTTTGAATCTGATTGTTTATTCTTTCACCATCAAATTTCAATCTTCATAAGTTGTGAATAAGAGGAACATCAAGGTAATTTTCTAGTTCATACAAATCAGCTGCAAGATGTGCTAGTTTGCAATGGTTTAAGACAAAACAAGCAAAATGTTCATTTTCCCCATTTTTTGGAATAAATATGAAGAAATTGGATGTGTGTCCTGGACCAACTACACCCACTGGTTGCTGTTCAAAGTGAATTCTTTGTATATAGATTAAATTACTCTAAATGTTTTTAGTGACTTGTATAATAGTTTTCCAGTGAATTCACTAAATGTTTTTAGTGAATTCCTTGCACTATCCATGACATATGATAGTTTCCAGTGAAGCAACAATGCTAACTGTTCCAATCCTCTAAGATTACAGAAAGCATCTAATAGTGTATAAAGATTACTGAATAGATGATCAGAACTTTACTCGTCAAAGTCCGGTGACTTTTGAGAGTTGAATTCATGACTCCTGGTAATATATCATGACATTTATGATAGTTAATATATCTGTCATCCGTTGAAATCAGTCTTTGATAAACAAGCTCATAAGAATCTACTATAGTTGCTGTAAGGATAATGCATTTCAGCAGCACCATCATGATAAAATATAAGTATCCTACACTTATTTTATCTATCTGTATGTTCAATATCACGTGTTCCAACATGATGGTGTGGAATGTCACAGATGGGACCCCACTCTAATAGCTGTCTCTGGTGAAATGCAAGATCTTAATGCATCTCATGTGCATATATTATGCAGGTTTGGTGTTGTACTACTGGAACAAGCTCATCGATCAAGACTTATTTCTGTTTTGCAAATATAATGGACAAGGCTTCCGAAGATTTTGGAGAAGTTGCTAGATGCTTGTGTTGAAACTAATTTTTTGAAGTTTGTTGCAGGATATAGTGTGTACCATTTTACAAGCAGTTTCATCAATCCAATCATATAAACTCCTTGAAGAAACATGCAAGAGGAACTTTGCAATGCACTTCGATTATTGTACAACTGCCAGCACTGAGTTTGTGTTGTTAGATGAGGCGACCTTTAGGGAGATTCTTCTGGTAAGTTGCATTACGTCATTATTCAATCCCTCGTTAGAAATTGAATAGTATGTAGTTCCATTTACAGTTGACGTAACTGATCATCATGGCTTTCTATTGTTTTATTGGGCGTATGACCATTTGTAGAAAAGATGCACACAGCTTTATTGCATTGACATTTTTAATTCCATCATACCACTTTGGTGAATTATGTTTTGGGTTTGACCTGTACTGCTTATACGCTTTGTGGCTTACATTTAGAGAATGCCAATATTCTTTGTTCCATCTGGAAACTATAGTACTTTGGAGTATCTAAGGATAGATGTTTTGATAAAAACACCATGTATATTGTAAATTTAACACCATGGAATCTTTTCTTTTGTGTTGAGAAGAATAAAAAGTTAGCTAATAAGTGATCAGTCTTTTGTCTCATGGTTTCTGCTAGTTTCCTGGTGCTACATAAAGTTATAACATGAATGAAGACATGTATATGGATAGATCTTGTAGCTTTGTGCTTGTGTGTGTTTGTGTGAGACAGAGAGAGAGAGAGAGAGAGAGGGAGGGAGGGAGGGAGGGACGAAGTGAGTTTCGTAAAAATTGCACTGATCTCACCTCCAATATTATGTGATTCTCAGCATGAGCATCTGTAACCTTTTCAGCTCTAGCAGTTAGGTTTTCAAAGAGGTGCAATCTAAATTATCATGGTAAATATAGTAAAACGAAATGTAATTTAGGAGATATTTGGTCCATGGTCAAATGCAAGCTTTTGGTTACGTTTATCATGGGTTTTGCAGCATGCTGATATGACTGTAACCTCAGAAGAGAAGGTTTTGGATGCAATATTACTATGGTGCATGCAAGCCTGTAAAGTCTTTGGTTGGGCTACAGTGGATGATCTCCTTATTTCTTCAACACCTGAACAAATTTTTGGAGAGAGGTTTCAATCAATTTTCTTGCTGCTACCATTTGTGCGATTTCCATTAATGCCATTATTTTTGCTTGAGAAGGTACGTTGTAAGGCTTTGCATCCAGAATGAATTTTGCTTCTGCTTGAGGTTTGAGGTTATCGAAATTTGATTGCACATACTGTCATGTAAAACAGCTAGAAGACAGCAGGCTTAGCAACCAGATTCCCATGTTTGGAGACTTGGTGAGTCATTTATATAATTTTTTAATAAAAATTATGTTTCATGGTTCTAGTTGTCTTTGAAATAATTGTAACTGTCTGATACAAAAGGTGAAGGAAGCCATTCAATATTCTGGTGGAATCAAGATGCCAGAAGTCAGTCAGAAGTGAGTTCCTTCATATATTTACATTTATGTATTTACTTTTTATTTTAAATCATATAGTTATTAAAGATTAATTAAAGTGGTATTCTTTCAGTATAAGATTTCAGCACAGACATTCTAGTTACAAGGAGCTCCAATACATATGTGATGGTGACAAAAATGGAGTAATATATTTTGCTGGGACATCATATGGGGAACATGCATGGGTAAATCCTGTTCTATCCAAGGCGAGTTTCTTAATTCTTCTCTATGGTGAATTTAAGTTTCTTTTTCATAAAATATGTTGAAAATTTCTGGCTTTGTCGTTGTTGTATGTTTGTCACATTGATTCATCTTAAATTCCAGAAAATCACTCTGACAGCCAGCAGCCCTGCTTCTAGGTACACAGACTCAAAGGCACTGGTATCAAGGACATACCAGGTAGTTTATGTGGTATCCATAAGATGAAACCTGAAAAGTCAAACTTACAACATTAACTTTTATATATTCTATAGGCCACCTCCTTTGCTGGACCCCGGATTGAAGATGGCCATAGTTCTGCATGGTGGATGGTTGACATTGGACATGATCACCAGGTACCTAGAAATCCTTTAACACTTTAATGTTTGCTCATCCTTTGATAACTTCTGAAAAGTTAGCCTAGATTGTTCTTGAAGAAGCTTGTGGGCTTGCTCTAATACCTAAACCTACTATCATTTTCAATAGTTCTTTGTTTCATAATTTTGGAACACCTATGACGAAAATAAGAAGCAGATTATGGAATATATTCTTGACCTTCTATTTTATTTTGAAACTTGAACTAATAATTCTTGGCTTTATGTTTATACGTACCTCAAGAGGCCAGAACATATTATTGCCCTGAGTCCTGGATCTATCTTAGAGTATGAATGAACCTAGATATTATTCTGCACCTTAGTTACTTGTCTGTGGCCAATGAATAAACCTATATTAAAGTATGCAAACATGGTTTGAAGTTAGGAAAGATGAAAAAATCAGCTGTAATAGCAAAATCAAGTAGACATTGGAGGTTCCAAAGGTGGTGAGAGACATTATGTTATGCATTATCTCAGACACAAATTAACAACAGACCTACAAGGACACTCAATTTTCTCAGATTGTTTATTTGCTTGTTTCACATCTGCATCTGTTTTCCACTTTGGTGAGATCCTCATCTTCTTGGCTGACCATTTTATTTTGTATTTTGGCACTAGATCATTCTCTGATAGCAATGACAATTTCGATGCTCCTTGCTGCCATGCATAAACTGAAACTGCATTTGGGACAAGCACAAACATTAAAGCGTCAGCAAATGCAATTAACTCGACAGATAGAAACTCTAGAAACTGGAGAGCATCCACCATGGGCTCTATTTATGATTCTAACTGGAGAGCTCCACTAGTCATTCACTAATCCAGGCTAAAATTCTAGAAACTAAAATTGCCAATGTAGGTGTAAAAGCAGGAAGAACAAGCCCCTTGAAAGCCTTACTGAGATACTGTTTGTTGTTATAGTCTTAAATGCAGATGCATAATTTTATCTCTTGTATTAATCAAACTTTGAAATACTGTTCAGCTCATGTTCTTCCTGCTTTTCTGTGCCAGCTGATGTGCAATTATTACACCTTGAGGCAGGATGGCTCCTCAACATACATAAGATCCTGGGCTTTTCAGGTAATCCTTCTCCTTTATGGCTTTTCCGGTGTATCTTATTTCAGTGATGAAGACAGTTCATTGCATTTTTTTCTGTGCCAGGGATCTGTGGATGGCAAAAATTGGACTAATCTGAGAGTTCACAACGATGACCAGACAATTTGTAGGTCTGGCCAGTTCGCATCATGGCCTGTAATTGGTCCTATGGCGCTGCTTCCGTTTAGGATTTTCCGAGTCATTTTGACTGGTCCAGCATCAGGTGATGCCAACGTTTGGAACCTTTGTATCTGCTTCATTGAGCTCTATGGCTACTTTATCTAACTGAAGTGGATTCTAGTGGCAAAAGCCATTTTGTTGCTTGATCATACGAAGTCCATCTGTGGTTGTACATACAAACAGAACAGAAGATGGAGATGTTGGCTGCCTGATATGCTTATCAGCTGTCAAATTTTGTGTCAACTAATTTGCTTATCTTTCTGGATGATGAACGATGGAAATTTTTGCTCGGTTTATGATCTGTAATTCCTACATGTCCAGTAAACCGATGTTCCTGATGGGACTACATGATACTAATCTATTGTATGACTAATATACCTGTATCACAAATGTAGTAGCTTTTATTAATTTGATTATTAGTATTTTACATGAAATAATTACTGTGTTTATGATACTTTGCAAGTAATGTAGATGGTGCATCAAGTTAAAAGATCCAGCATGATCTTTTGTCATGCAGAATCTTACCCGTAAATAACTCCACAAATAAATCTTATCTATATAGGATTCTTCAATTAGTATTCCGAATATAGTCAGGATACTTCAAATGGTATTTTTGAATCTATCTCAAATGATCCAAACTACAGGAACGTTGTTTTCTTTTTCTTTTCTTTATTGTTTCTGTTGTTAATAGCTTTTTTTGGTTATATTTTTAAATTATAACGAGACATTTAGATTATATCAAGAAGGTTGAAGTATGATAACCTAAACTAATTTGTGTGCGGCACAGTATCGTCATTAATGTTAACACAATTCTTAGGTTTCATGACGGATTTAGCATCTGTTGCCATGGGTTAAAATATTTTGATAGAAGCTTTTTGCACTGCTGCCTCCGTCAAACAAAGCTTGCACGACTTGGGATTTTTTTGATATTATTGCGTATACCCTATGAATCTCACACTTTTCCTTCTTTCTCTACCGTTATGGCAATTTATTAAACAAAAGTTGGGTGTTCAGTTCTTATTCTTTCCTAATACGCTCTTAGGGAAGAGGGGGGCATCTCCTCAGTGGTATTATTAACACGGCTGTTTGGATGAGTTGGGGAGCACAGAATGAAATATTAAAGAGTCAATCTAACTCTTTCTCATTGAATCTCGAATTTTGATGATAAAATTTATTAATAAATTATTTGATATAATCTATATGTTGAAAAAAATATGTAGGATTAACTATGATAATGATAAGACATAAAGCAAATGTTGTGTCGGAGTCAAGATTGAGATTTCATTGGGAGTTCGAGAGTTCGTCGGAAGTTTCGTCGGAATTAACCAAGAAGTCTAGGAGCCTACCAAAGAAACTCATCATAACTCGTCAAGAAGATCGTCGAAAAGTTCAAAAGCTTGCTGGAAATCCGTTGGAACGTTACCGAGAGATCATCGGAAGTTCGTTGGAAGATCATCAAAAGCTCGTCGAAAGAACAGTTGACATACCAGACCAAGATTGCATAGTACCTTAAATTCAGAGTTAGACCTTAAGTTGAGTTAGGATTGGGAGGTAATCCCACTAACTCAGTTAAGGGCTAATTGGGCTCTTAGCAGGGCTGAATTGGGCCGATTGAATAGCCCATTCAGCACCTGAAATCACGGCCAGTGGTGGCATTACCTGAGACTCAATCTCTCAAGTGCTAAGTGGTGGTACTGCCCAGATTGGGTGATGGTACCGTCGATAGTTAATGTTATCAAGCGATGGTACGATATTGTCAGACGGTGGTACCACCAAAGCTCGGTCTTCAAGCTCTGTTAAGCAATCGTACCATCTAGACTAAGCGATGGTACCACGTAGTGTCAGTCTGCAAGCGGTACTACTGCCCAATAATGGAGGTGGTACCACCAGTACCCCGAAATCCAATGATGTGATGCTTTTTGGCTCAAATTCTAAAGCCATCACGACCTATAAATACCCCACCCTATTCTGCATAAAAGGGTATGAAAGTGTGAACAAAATATTAAAGTATTGGGGTGTGAAAGTGTTGTAAAAATGAAAAGAGTAATCATTTTCTAAGTATTGTGATCATTCAAGAGAGGTGTGAGACTTGTAAGGGTTATCTCCTAAACCCGTGAAAAGAAGAAAGAACCATTGTAAAGATATGATTGATCTTCGCTTAAAGGAAGACCATTAGTAGACATCGATGACCTTGACGGAGGAGGAATCGGAAGTGAATGTAAGTCACAATAATCGAACCCCTATAAAATCTGGTGTGCTCATTTCTATTCTACTTTTTCATTACTTTCATTACTTTCTAAGTTAATTGCTAGTTCATTTACTTTAAAGTCAAGTACAGGTTGATTTTCAATGAATGAATATTTTACAAAACCGACAAGTCTTTTCGCTCGACAAATTCACCCCCCTCCCCCCCTCTTAGTGCCTCTCTTGATCCTAACAATTGATATTAGAGCAAGGTTACTCTCGATTTAGTTTAAAACCAAAGAGAGATGACATTTACCGGTAACCAAGAGGGTTACTCAATTACACATCTACCCATGTTCAATGGGACGGATTATATGTATTGGAAAAATAGGATGAAGATCTAAAATCTATGGATTTCGAGTAATGGAATATTATTAAAAACGGATTTCAAAAGTCTTCTCTTCCAACAAGCGAATGGAATGACTTAGAGAAGAAGACTTTCTCTTTAAATGCTAAAGCTATGAATGCTTTGCTTCGTGCTTTGGATAAAAACTAATTCAATCAAGTTTCTATTTGCGAAATGACTTATAACATTTAGCATATACTTGAAATCACACACGAAGGTACACGAAGGTACAAGTAGAGTTAAGGAGTAAAAAATCAATCTTGTGGTTTATAGTTATAAATTTTTTCACATGAAATCAAGTAAGATCATTGGAGACATATACACCCGGTTTACAGATGCTGTCTATGGTCTAAAAGCCCTTGGTAAAAGTTTTTCTAATGTTGAACTTGTTAATAAGATACTAAGATCCCTTCCAAAGAGTTGGAATCCTAAAGTAACTGCTATTCAAGACGCAAATGATTTAAACAACTTGCCACTCGAAGAACTTATCGGATCCTTGATGACCTACGAAATGTCATACAATGTACATGAAGAACATGAGAACAACATTTTAAAGAACAGGAAGGATTTAACATTTAGAACTCAAGAAGATCACTTAAAAGAAAACTTAAGTGACGACGATGATGATGATGATGACAACTTAGCACTTCTAACAAGAAATTTTAAAAATTTCATAAGAAGAAACAAAACTAAAAACAAAAATAAACTTAAAAAGGACCAAATCATTTGCTACGAATGTAAAAAGCCAAGGCACTTCAAAAGTGAATATACCCATGTGAAGAAGAAGCAACCAAAAAAGAAGAAAGCGCTTAAAGTAACTTAGGACGACTCAAGTGCATCCGAAGAAGAAGAGCCAACCAACAAAGAGCAAGTTGCTAACTACGCATTAATGGTATGTGGCAACAATGTAAGTAACTCGATCGAAGCTTATTTATCTTTTGATGAATTATTAAGTGCTTTTCATGATTTATTTGATGAATATAAATTAGTTAGTAAAAATATAAACTATTAAAAAAAGAGCATGCTTCTTTTGTTAGTGATTTTGATAGATTAAAAATTGAGCATGATGATAGTTTAGCTCCTTACACAAAATGTGATGAATTAGAAATGCTTAAAAAGGAGAATTTGAACCTATATAAAACCTTAGAAAAATTTAAAATAGATAGCAAATCCTTAAACATGATCCTTGCAAGTAAGAATCATGTTCATAGAAGAGATGAAATCAGCTTTGTGAGTAACACTCATAAAAACCTAACTATCTTTGTTAAAGGCCTAACTTTGCATGTTTCACTCTAAAACAAATGCAACTTTTGTTGCAAATTTGGACATGTTACTTATAAATGTCCATTTAAGAGATATAGTCCACACAAATTGATTTAGGTTCTTAAAGGAACTGTAAAGAACTCCATGCAAAATGATAAGTTAAGTTGATCGATTTTTGAGACACCCAAGGTCAAATGGGTACCTAAAAATTATATTTTTTTTGTAGAAATATTTACCATCACAAGCTAGGAGCAAGAGATGGTACCTTGATAATGAATGCTCAAGACACATGACTAGAGATCTATCTCATTTATCTAAGCTCACTAGCTTAGATGAAGGGTATGTCACATTCGGAGACAACAACAAGGGTAAAATCATTGGCAACGGAATCATAGGTAAAAATCCAATATTTTGATTAAAGATGTGTTGTTAGTTGATGGATTTAAGCATAATATTTTAAGAATTAGTCAATTATATTATAAAAGATACGTGATTAGATTTGAATCTAATGCTTGCATTATTAAACAACTACACAAAACACCTCTATGATTGCCCTGAACCAAAATAATGTATATTATATTGACATTGATGATCTTTGTAATAAAATATGTTTTTCGGTTTTGAATAACAATGCTAAGCTTTGGCTTAGGAGATTAGGTCATGCTAGCATGAAACTAATCTCTTAAATCTCATCCAAAAAACTTGTAAGAGATATTCCTAACATTAGGTTTGTTAAAAATAATGTGTACGATGCTTGTCAACTAGGAAAACAAATAAAAGGTAGTTTCAAACCAAAGAATCAAATAAGCATCTTTATACTATTGCAATTGATCCATATAGATTTGTTTGGACCAATTGATATATTAAGCCTAGAAGGTAGCAAATACACCTTTGTAATTGTCAATGATTATAGTAGATACATTTAGATATACTTCTTGGCACACAAAAGTGATTGCTTTAGGTTTTTTTTTAAGTTTTATCAATTTGTTCAAAATGAAAAAGGCTTTATGATTTCATCAATTCGGAGTGATCATGGTGATGAATTTCAAAACCGTAATTTCTAAAATTTTTATGAATCTAATGGATACAACCATAATTTCTCTACTTCGAGAAATCCTCAAAAAAATATAGTAGTAGAAAGAAAAAATAGAAATTTACAAGAAATGACAAAAACTATGTTAAATGAACATAACTTACCCAAATATTTTTGGGTCAAAACTGTTAATACGACATGCTATGTCATGAATAGGATTTTAGTAAGGCCATTACTTTCCAAAACTCCTTATGAATTATGGAATAATAAAAAACCTAATATTTTATATTTTAAAGTTTTTGATTGTAAATGTTTTATCTTGAATGAAAAAGATGCCTTAGAAAAGTTTAATGCAAAATCTGATGAAGGCATTTTTCTTAGTTATTCTTTTATTTCTAAAATATTTTATATCTTTAACAAAAGAACGTTGGTTATAAAAGAGTCTATTTATGTTGTCTTTAATGAAATTTTCGAATTTAAGAAAAATAATTTTGATGATAATTTTAATTTTGATACTTTGAACTTGAATGAAA